TGAGGAGCTTGACGAATCAGTCTATAGAGATGGCATTAATAGACTGGAACACCGCTATGAGAAATGTATCAGCCTTGGAGGAGATTATGTTGAGAAATAAAAAAAAAAAATTTTTAAAAACCTTGTTTTTCTTGGTCAGGCCGGAAACTTATCAATCCACCCTCGTAGATTACACCTTCCAAAGTTCAGCATTTATTTCTTTTACATCCTGTATAATATGACGCGATCGGAACAGAAGCGGACCTGAACAAAAGCGGAACTGGGATAAATACGGAACCAAAAAATTCTACTTTAAATGTATCTGAAAGTGTGATAAAAGCAGAACTATTATTACCATAAATTTTCACTTTGACACTATATTATGGAAAAGAGTAAAGAAAAAGTTAGGTTAGTATCATAAGGATACGATGAGAAAAGACAACACGAACGAAATGTTCTGGGGAATTTACTGATACTAAACCAACTCTAATCAATTTGAAATCTGGTGTACCCTGCTTTTGTCCATGGTTCACTATAACAGCGGTTTCGGTACATTGTACCATCTTCAGGCAAGATTGCTTTCAAACTTTCAAACTTCCATCAACTCTTGACGAAGCATTTTCAATTTGGTCAATAAAATAAAACAGTTGAGACGTTTCAAAATTTTTATTTTCTTCTTATAGGATATCTTCAAAGACCGTACTGAGTAAAATTTAAAATTGTAGAACATTCATGGATANTGGCATTAAATATTGGTTAAACCCTATAAGTAAATGTTCTTTCATTTCATAAAGAGCCTTTTCACAAGGGCGACTAGTGGCGCCACTGTGGCGCACCCTATCGCGATCATAAGTCAGGACGGAAGGAGTAGTAAGGATATAAAGCAGAGGATAGCGCAGAGTCGAGTCGCCTTCAATAAAAAGAAGTCACTTCTATGCTCACGAACAGTTAATTTAGAAATTCGAAAAAGGTTGTTAAAGGTGTATGTTTGGAGCACGGCGCTGTACGGGTGTGAAACATGGACAGTGGGAGCGGCGGAAAAGAAAAGGTTAGAAGCGNTGAGTATTCCTTTTAATTTTTAATCATTTCATTCAAATTTCTAAACACTTATATGCACTTATTTTCTATCATATAAGCTACAAGATGAGACTACAAATTCACTTATTATGTTACTTTAATTGCTATTTTTTTTTCTTTTGCACATTATTTGTAGGTACATGCTAAATAGGGAGTTGTTTATTTATTAATTATGGCTCCTACCACTAGACCACAAATGGTCAATTTAGTTATCTTATTAACAGAAAAAATCAACATACATTCACGCAAATTAGTCTAGATGTCTTTGTTATATTCTTATAGACGAGACTGTAAAATGAAATGATTTATTTTCGAATATTACATAAAACATATTAAGTCCGTTTTTACTAACTTTTAGTGTATGAGAACAGACAAATAGAGAATTATATTTCATTATACTGCTTAAAGGTTTAATCGTAAGGCGAATCAAAGAGATATAAATTTCCTTTCTGCACAACACGGTTTTTTAATATTCATCATGGAATGGATAGTATGGATGCTTGGATCCCCTAAAAATAGAAACAATAAAATAAAATAATAAATAAAGTCTTGCAATAATAGCAGCTCAAATACAAAATAAAATAGAAGATCAGAGGCAAATCTGCTTAAGCAAGACCAAGAATAGAATTGAAATTCAAGATCGTCATTGGTCATTCTTGTGGTCAACCTATTGTATTTTTTTTTGTGGTTAACACCATTACACAATAAAACTTACGATTCAAATCTGAGCAACCTTCCGTTTCGATTGAATGAGTCAACGTATTTCATTTCTTCGGGGGATAGTTGAAAATCGAATATGTTGATATTTTCCTGAATTCTATTCTTATGAACAGACTTTGGAATGGCAACAAAACCTCTTTGAGTCAGATAACGCAGAATAATCTGTGCAGGCGTTTTCTTACGTTTATCGGCGATGGCTTTAAGATTCGGATCGTCTAGGAGCTTTGGTTCTCCGGGTTTTGCCCACGGTCTATCAGAAGAACCCAATGGACTGTAAGCTGTTATAGCAATTCCTTTGGATTTACAAAAGTCCGCTAGCTTCTTTTGATTTAAATAGGGATGACATTCAACCTAAATTAAAGGAGATGAAAAATTGTAAATCGTAAATAATTTATCAAGAGGCATTAAAAGTACTGACGAATTAGTAATAATCTTTTGTAAGTTTCAAGTTGAGGCTGCTTTGACTCTTGAGATACTGAGCGCTAAATTTGACATTTTTCCAACATGGTCTTATTATTCGTTGTTGTTAAATTTATAATCACCACTTTTAAGACTTTTATAATGCTTCATTTAAAGCTCAGCAGTCACCTCACATTAAGAACTAAATTTTTAAATATTTTAGAGGGTTCAGATTCGACGATTTTTTGTAATTCGACTATTTCATACTTTCTAAATAACTTTTTCAATTACATTCAAATAGGTATTTGTTTTCTCGATTATTTTTTTATTGATAACTATATTTTTATCAAAACAATGTAGGAATTCATCACTTTCTTTTTTAATTGGTGTCATTAGTCTAAATTATCATTGTTACGACTACTAAATCATTCTTTTGTTGGTATTTAGAATTGCTTACGATTTTTTTCACAAATGGTATGGTAATCACATTTGTTAGGGCTACTAGATCTTTCTATATTCAGAATTGCTAATGTATTATTGTTCCATCACAAACAGTGTAGATATTTTAGGCGTAATTCGGAATTTAATGTTTGCCAACTTTAACTTTGTGCCCAGATTTATAATCAACGACCAAAAGACTCTTCAGGACAGTCTTTCAGGGGTAAACAAGAATTTTTCACTCCACATCCGTCATTTTGAATTTTGATTGGTAATAATTGACCGTTAAAATATGTATACGATAGTTAATTACCAGATTTTAAGAGATTAGATTACTGTTCACACATAGTTAAAGATATGGGATGTTCTAGCTTTAGGGAAATGCGAAAGAATGGAGGTGCATCTCCAACCAGTTTAAGGACTGACGACCTTATGATAATGATGATGACTTATTTTATTTAATTCTTTTATAGCTGTATTCCTCGCCACTGTAATCTTAGATTGCCGGACGATTTTGCTATGGAATCTTTTGTATTTATGGTTTATACTTTGTCTGGTTGATCAACTTGCTGCTACTACTTTGGTAGCAACTGCATTTTAAACAGTGCTTTTCTACACTCTGACGTTAGAAGCGCTTCTATCTTAGCCGTGCATTCGTAGCACAACTAACGTTCGATTCGCCACCATTTTAGTAGTCCGTGTGAAAAGGCTTTAAAAGTGAGACATTGTTGTCGATAAGCCGTATAACCCGTTCAATGATAGCCACTTTGATTCTGGCTATACCTACGTGTATTACTTGATTTATTTCTCACGCAAAAGTAGTTCCTTAATTCGGGTGCAAAAAATAAACTTAAAAAGGGGCTGTAAAATCTAAAAACCATATCTCCTTAATAATACACAACTTTAAAGTAATTTCTAGTTTGCTCTACTACTTACTTTCCATGTTCCTAGTCCAAGCACAGGCATTTCGATTCCATTATTCAATTTTATTTTCGGAACTTGCACAGAAGCGGCTGTTCCGGTAAACATTATTATATTATATGAAAAGAAAAACAAAAATAGCTGCGTCCAATTTGTCATCTTGTTTCTGTTAACGAATTCAGAAAAAAAAATTGTAAAATCCCTTCACATCCAAATCAATGTACCTAGTACATACCTACACGTCATTTTCCGGTTATTTAAAACAGGACTTCCTATTCAGACGATATTCTGAAAATTCTGCAAGGCATTATTTTAAAGTTTTCGATTTTAAAAAATGTATATCCGTTACCTTTAAATACGCGCTGTTTGTTATTAAACAACACAAAGTAGGTATACACTTTAGAAACTAGGTAACTCTGCTTAACTGTTACGTTGACTGACACACATAAAGTCACTTTCAAGAAACTCGTTGTCTAACTGATCATATGAAGGTTATTGCTACAAGTATAAGCATTTGCATGAGCAAAGTGTACCCTTCAAATGCCAAAACATCATTTTCTCTTACATAAAAATTGTCCCAAACAAAACAAATACTATACAGAATGGACGATTCGCTAACTAGTAGACATTAAAGAGTGTTTTGTGTAATACGGTAGTATAGGATTTTATTTAATAAAATTAGCTACGGCTTAAGTGGAACACCGTATGTTGAGACCTTTTCTTAGAAAGAGAAATCTCGAAATTGTAAAGAACTGTAAATAGATTGTAAATTTAGAAAGTGCAGGAACAATTTTTAGGGGACTATTTTTTAACAGCATGCCGAGGGTGATCGGTCATGTCATAAATTATAAGTTGTAGTTTTNATGACAATCATAATGTTTTTGAAATGACTTTTGGCATGGAGTTCTTATTATTCGTTGATTGGTATTATTTCTATACTAAACGAGATTTTTAATGAAGCCAGTTAATTATTAAATAATCACTAATGCATAAACTGTTTTGTAAAACTCTTAAAGAATATATATGTATGTATGTGTATTAGTAAATTCAAATATACTTCACAAAATATTATTTTATATTGTTTCGAAGTTTCAATGAATTGTAAGTAACTACACTACTTTGAGGAAATCAAAACAATATAGTTCAGTTTTTAAAATAAAAACTTGGCGAAATAACATGTTCCTTATTAAAGGATAAAGTGCAACTAAGCATTTACTCAATCCATCCTTGATAACTACTGCAATACAAAAACATTGATCCTAAAATCTACTAATGATATTCAAAGTGCAGTTATTCAAATTGTTAAATTTTAAGATATAAAAACTAAAGGTAGAATTATGTGCGTATAGGATTCGAGAAACTATTTGTGTTTCTCACATTGAATAGTGAGAAAGAATACGATCTAACACCACACCTTGATGTATC